GACAAAAGATGAATTTGAGTATTTTATGCAGAGTAAAACAAATTTTATATTATATAAAGTAAAATACTCCTATTTCACATTAAAGTAAAATACTCCTATTTATTTTATATAAAGTAAAATACTCATTGTTTAATAGCAAGATTTTTAAATACCATCCACTTCCAGTTTAGTATAGAAAACTATTTCAACAACAAATATTGTTCCTCCATATTAAGTAAATTTTTAGGTAATACAAAAATTATCCTTTCAATGTCAAGAAAAAAATAAGGCTCCTCCCGACATTTGCACATTACAAACAGGTAAATATGAGCCACTTCAATTTTAAACCCGGCCTAAAAACCAGTAACATTCATACAGTAATATTTCAAATAGTATACCTCTTGTTAATTTGCCAGTGAACACAAAAAGTAATTTTACCATAAAGTAAAAATAATTCTATTTTCAGTATTAAAAAGTCTCATAATCTATCATGAAATTGGGGGAAGACTGTATTCTCACAGAATACAAGTATTTAACATTTATTCTAACATGTAACAGGGAACAGTCCCAGATCACCCTACATATTTGAGATGTAAATGTGTTTGCTTAAACAAAAGCTTCACATCCAAGAAATAATTAAGCACCTACCATCTGCTAAAAATAAATTTGGAGATAGAAGCTATTACACATTATTAAAATATTTTAAAAATAGTAAACATAGAACAGCATCTGCTGAGAAAACTGCATACTAGTATTTCCTAACCCATTTTGATAGCTCTTCAAAGTTCTGTTGGTTTTATATATTTTAAACATACTATGGTTGTACAAATGCAGAGCTGTTAGGGTTTACATAAAGCATACCTTTAAACATTAAATCAGTTTCTTCACGAGATTAAAGAATGGAAATGAGCATATTACTCTTGGAAATTAAGAAGCCAATTTAAGAAATTATAATTTCCCTAAGACCACTAAAATATGTAAAGGGGAAATTTTTCTCCTATTAATTAGCTGTTCTTCCCACTTCCTCAATAGATTCAAGAAGTCCTAGAGCTTAGTGGGGGCATATATGGCAAAGATTTCTTGTTGGAAGCTGTGAGGAATTCAGACAAGCCAAAACTTTAGGACAGTTATCAATCTTACAGAGTTGATGGGAAATGGAGACCTGTCAATGTTCTACACTAAAACTGGGATCAGAGAGATCCTTTCACTTACAATAACAACAAAAGGGAAGTATGATCAAAATGTAAGCTCTAAAAATAAAATTTACTCTCCAATTACCTTATAGTTTTCTTCAAATCCACTTAAACAGATAAACAACTAATCCTTCAAATTCAGCTATCCTAAGAACAAAGACCATTTGACTAGTTTCCCCCAAGGGACCAAATTGTTTCAAAACTCTCTGGGAACAAAAATTATGCCTAATCTTTTAATAAATTTGCCTAGACAATCCTAACTTAAAACATACATAGTCAATTAGCAAAAAAACAAACATTTATAGCCCTGTTATTTATAAAGTAACCATTCAAAATAAGGTACAATACTAAAAAAAAAAAAAAAAGCCAGTCTCATTTTACAGGAACTAAAATATCAAAAGAAACAAACAAACAAAAAAAACCACCACCAACAACAAAAAGAAGCAAACAAAACCTAATGCAGTAAAGCAAGCCAATATGCAGAAAGCTAGTAAACTGAAGGCAGTTTTTCCTATAATTTCTAACTTGGTATTTTTCATTTGAAGCTAAATAAGTTCAATTGCTTTGTCTGTCTAGACCTGACTAAGGTATCTATGAAGAAAAACACTGGGCACAGGCAGTGTTCCCTCCTATAGCTACATCAACCAAATTTATAAGAATACAATGGTTTTGTATATTGAATAGTAAGTTTAAAGTACCAAGCTTCTGAACCACAGACCTTAATCACCTAGTCTTTAAAATAAATGCACAATCTTTACACAGCAGTGAAAGATCTGGACTTACATACTCGCTCAGATCAAAATACAAATGAGTACTGACCCCAAACCCTATACAAACTCATCCACTACCCACCAACATTTCACTTTATAATAAAATATTTCAAAAATTCTAAGTAAGGTTGTGTGCTCAGTCTTCCATGATGAAACCCACTGGTATGTAGAAAATCCCTGAGCCAGTTACTTCTCTAATTATTTCGTAGGCTAGAACCTTACCACATTCACCATATGAGGTAAATGCTGCTCCAAAATATTTACAATGGAATAAGAGAATCATGAAACGGTGTATACTGTCCAACCTTTTTAAGTACTACTGGATTGAAAGGCAATCGTCTTTCAGTTGCTCCACAATCAGAATGGTTATTAAGTGTCATTAATGGCCCACTCATATCTCAATGCTTAGATCAGCCCAAAAAGATAGAACTCCCACTATGAAAGTTAATTCTAATCTTTCACACTTTAAAAAATACAGTTAAATGACACCTGACACTACTTAATTTTCAGTCTCAGTCTATAAGATTCTGAAAATAGCATAAAATGGATTCGAGACCCTATTATGGTAATGTTTTTATTTAAGGTCTATTAAAACAGGCTAAATTCCACAATCCCATAATAGGTAAATGGGCATGTTTGGGGAGGAAAAAAATCAAGAATCAGAGCCTTAGTTTTAACTTACATAATGATGATAGTATGCCCTAAGACAATTGTTAAAAGCAGCATGAAGCTTCACTTTATCAAATACACCATCAACTTTGAAAATTCTTAAGGAAAGCTTAAATACACGGGGAAAATGGATGGCAAAATATAATGGCATCTCTATACCCAATGAAGTAACAGGTTTAGGCTTGTTTGTACAGCTCCCTAAAATTTAAGCTGAAACAGAATACAAAAACCAAAATCCACAAAATGGGTCAAGAGGTGGTTGGCAAATGTCTTACTCTAGAGTGAAACATTTAATCATACAAAATAGATTGTATTGAGATACTTATTAAGCATTTTAATTTACTTTGGCATACTGAATAAAAGATGGCTGAATTGAACCAAACAAAAACTATTATTGGTACCCAAATAATTTTTTTTAAATAATGAAGAGCAGCCATCATCATCACTGAAATTTGCAAGGCTGTTTTATTTTTTTTCAAAAGTGGAGACATTTAATTTACCTTTCAGGAAAAACGAATCAAATTAATCAACTAAAACACAGCATTGAAATTTGCAGTAAATAGCAACACATTTTTGTAACTGGCTCGGGGAAGGGGAAAAAGCCCAGTCTTTTCTTGTAAATATAATAAGCCTGTAATATGCTGCAGACAAACGCACTGCATGGGGTGTGGAGGACCCGAGCTGATTAGATTACCACAACATCAGCCTGGGGCCGCCATTTTTAGAATCTGTAAAGGACAAAAGAGGGAAATTTCAGTTTTTACTCCCCATCTCAGAAATTAAAGGAAAAAGCAGACTATTTTCCAAATAGGTATTCATGTCTCCAGCCCAGAGTTGAATGCACCTCACTTAATTCTATCCAAGGTCTCCAGGACTCTAAACACCTAACCTTATTCACATCTCTAAAAAGGGAACAAAATAGGCAACACGGGGTTTACTCTAGAGCTAACTCTAGCGATTTCTCTTTGACTTTAAATTGTGTAATGCTTAAGACAGAGCCCAGCAAGGACGGATCTATGTGGAACTAATGCCAGTGGAAGAGAGCACTCTGGATTGTTTTTTCTCACCCCCACCCCGTTTAGCACAGTGAACCGTTTGTTTCTCATCTGTGCCTGCTGCCACAGGGTTTGTGCCAATCCCCTGGTCAAAATAAGCTTTTCTGAAATGAGCCATATTGTGGATCCTAAGGCTCCGGCACAGTAAAGGACGGCGGTATTGCAAAAGGAGTGGGGGAGGAGACTGAGAAGGCTGGGTACTGGGGTGACCACCACAGGGGCGGGTTTACCCTCTTCTGGAGAGGATAAGGAGCTAGCTGTCTCGCTCTCCCACAAAGAGAGCTGCCCAGGGCGTTCTTCTTAGCCCCTTCGTATTCATGTGCACATTATACCAGAGACTACCCGTCAAGAAATGGAAGAAGAAAATGGGGCCTATATGGCTTTTCAGCACCCCAACAAGACGCGGCTGAGATAAGGGAGCGCTGGCAGCTCCTGGGACCACTTCGACACAAACCCTACTAACAGTCACAAGCCTCCCTCCTCCCTCAAGCGGCCTTAACCTGCTGCCAATGAGGAGTGCGCCCCCTCCCTAACTCCCACTCTCAAGGGGGTTTAACTGCCAGTTTCCCCTTCCCCAACCCTAAAACCCGCCATAATGCTCCATTTCTAGGGTCAGGGAAAAGAAAAGATAAATTCGATTTAAGCAAGCAACGTCTTGCCCCGGCAAAGACACCTGAGAGTCAACGTCGGCTCCCCCAGCTTAAGGATAAAGATGAGAGACCTCTCTCCCCCTTGAAACACAAGTCCCCCAACCCCGCAAGCCCCAGGAACTCCCACGGAGACGACAGGCACTGACCTGTGATGTTCACACACCAGACACCCGAACCCCGTTATGTGCTCGACCCCCAAGGAGTCTCTCCGCACCTCCGCGAACAGGCGACCCCCAGATAGCAGCCACTGCGGACACAGGAACCGGCTCCACACACCCCCTCCCCAAACAGCAGCGCGCAGCCTCTTCACCAAGATCCGAGGAGTAGGAGAGGGGGCACCCAGACAGTCAACAGGAACGCAGAGGCAACGGCGAGGCTGCTCGGAGTGTCTATGCCCCCTCTGTTGCAGCTCCCGAACTCAGGCACGGTCTCCGACTCGGCCCCCTACGCCCGCTCAGTGTCACTGCCTCTCGCTCTGGGAAAATGGCGTCGACGGCGGCGGCGGCGGCCGCGGCGGCGGCGGCGGCGGCGGCGGCGGCGGCAAGTGCACGGGGCCCGCCCGTCCCGCTCCGCAGGGGCAGAGGGGGAGGGGATGAAGCTGCCCGGCGCCATTTTGCTTGTGGGCTGCCGCCCGCCGTTGCCTCTCCGCGGAGGCTCGAAGATAGCAAACTGGAGGCGGTGAGGGGGACGGAATCTCTTGTCTTTCTGCAACAGATGCACTCAACAATCCACGGAAGGTTTGAGGAAGTGTCGGTGTTCCGTGGGATTGGTTCTTTCCCCCTTCCCCCCAATGGCCCTCAAGTCTGGATATAGGTGAGCTTGGGCATGCCACTATTGGGTGCACGGACAAGGACACAGGGCCTGGGAACGACCTCCCTCCCGTCACCCTCCGAAAGTGATACACTTTCTCCCCCTCCCAAACAACCCCAGCTCCGTCTCCGCGTCTCTCTCCCCCTCCTCCCCCAGCCCAGTCTGGCCTCAAGCGCTGGGTGAACCCGGTTGGGGTGTCACTCGACGCCCACTAGGGGCCGAGGAGGCTCCAGTGCGCAGGCTCCGGGCACCGGATAAAAGCAGAGCTGGCGACTCCAGCGCTGTCTCTATGGAGGAGCGAGAAACGGAAGAGGTCGGGGGGAGAAGCAGCAGGAAAAATGCAGCCACCGTCAGCGCCGCCTCCTTGCCACCGTGTTTCGGGGTAAAAAGTTGCCGTTGCCGTCGGTGCAGTTGCCGTCGCTGCCTCCTATACTTCTCTTGGTTTCGGGGAAGGATTTCCCCACCGGTGGGACATTGTGCGGGGTGGGGAGTGGGAATTACTGTACGTGGCGGTGATTAAACGAGGGAGGGACAGAGACAGTGATCTCGAAGAAAAAAGGGGGAGACCAAAAAATAAAGGGTTTCCCCACTAAAGTGACACGGCGATTACGGCTCTTGTTTTCGGGGTCTTTCCCCGAAATGGTTTCCATCTTCCCCTTGCCCCGCAGCGACCCGGAGCGCGGGGGGAGCGGAGTGGGGAGAGGCAGAGGCGATCTTGGCAGCCAATCGGCGCCTGATGTGTCCTTTCGGGCGCGCAGCGGTTGGCTGGCGATGACCTCATCCTGCAGCAGCGGGTGGGGCCAAAGCCGTAGCGGGAGGCTGTTGCAAAGGTAGAGAGGGAGAAGTGACGACGGTGATCGTTGCTGCCGCGGCCGATTTGGAACCCAAGCAGCGGCGAAGAGAATCGCAAGGCTCTTCCCTATTTTCTCCTGTCCCTGCGCGAGGTGAGGGCCCCGGCTCGGCCTCTGCGAAACTTTGGGGCGCTGGCGCGGAGGAGGAGACAGGATTTCTCCCATGACTTTTGTAACTGCGTCAGGGCAAGATGGCGCTGGGTCTCCTTGGGGCGCGGGGGGAGAGGCACGTCCACCGCCGCCGCAGCGCATGTGACCGGGCTGCATTCCTGTGGGGTTTGGCTCCTACCCAGGCCGGGGCGGGGGAGGGGACACGGCTTGGGCGGAGGAGACTGTGGTGCGGTCTGCGTTGGCGGCCCGAAGAGGAAGAGATGACTGTTCGAAAGCGTTCCTCTCCCCCTCCCCCATACAGCAGAACAGCTGTGGCTCCCAGGGGAAAGCCCCCGCAGGACACTCCTCGTGGGGTGTGACGGCTGTTGGAGGAGGTTTGGCGCCCTATTTTCTTATCTGCCTTTCTCCTTGCAGAGTATTACTTACGTAAGGTAGTAGGTCCCTAACATGGGACTCGGAATCAACTAGGAATCTTCCAGGGCCACTGCGAAGCGTAACGAGGGGAGACTAGCTCCTGGGCGCACAACGTCGAGGAGGATCGATTACTTTCTGAGGAAACAGTTTCTCAGATTGAAATAGAAAAGTATTTCCAAAGTTTGGAAACAGATGCAAAGGTGTAAATAACACCCAGGAACACTTTAATTGCTTTTAAAAGGTACAAACAGCCATCTGAATTTAAGGGCCCTTTTCAGACTTTATGTTCCTCTGTACTTCCTGTTCCTTATTCCACTTTCCTATCTGTACATCCTTTAAGAATACAGTTTTGTCGCTGAGATTTGCTTTTTTTTTTTTCTTTTTAAATACATTCTCGCTCTGTCGCCTCGGCTGGAGTGCAGTGGTGCAATACCGGCTCACTGCAGCCTCCGCCTCCCAGGTTAAAGCGATTCTCCTGCTTCAGCCTCCCAAGTAGCTGGGATTACAGGTGCCCGCCACCACGCCTGGCTAATTTTTTGTATTTTTGGTAGAGGGGGGTTTCACTGTATTGGCCGAACTCTCGAACTCAGGTGATCCTTCCGCCTCCTCGGCCTCTCCAAATGCTGAGATTACTGGGCGTGAGCTACCGCGCCTGGCCTGCCTTTTTTTGTTTCTTCTGGCGTTAGGCATTATTAGTAATATAGAATAAAAGCCACGTTTTAAACTGTATGAAGTTGTAGGGCTGTTTTCAGTACTTTTAGTCTGTTTTCTTTCTGTTGCCGTTTTGTGGTTTTTAAAAATAAAAGATGCAATTGTAAGCACTTCTGGTAAATATTCCTTAAAGTTCCTGCATCATTATCAAATATTCAAGCTTACTTTGAAGCACTTTTGTAGTAGTACAAACTATACTTTTAGCTTTTGAAACCTCGATAGGAGAAAATAACCAGCAGTTTTTAAGGGCTATTTTGGTATATCCAGTAAGGTAGACTGTAAGTTTGTTTTTCGTTTTTCCCACTTGGGCAAACTAGTTATAGTAGTCAGAAACAAAAGTAGCAAAAATTTTTAAAGGGCTTCTCCTTTTGGGTGGTGTACAGGGTGGGGAGGTATTCAACAAACACATTTGCAGCTAAAATCCGGCCTACTTGAACACATACTGGGTGCTAGGAGGAAATGATTGCTGGACCGGAAAAGAACCTGAGGTCAAGGTTGTGCTATTTCTTGAAGTCTTGGTTGTAGGCGAAAACAAGATTGGGTTTTTAATTCTTTTGTGTACCTTAAATCCTCACTAGTTTTTGTGGATTTCTTTTTTCAGTTGTTAAGCAACTGAATGTGGATGAATTATAAATATTTAGTACAAAGAATGTAATAGGGCCACTCTGAATACAAAGTAAGCATTAAGAACCCTTGAATGTCTTCAAGGGTTACTTTGTTACCTGTAAGATTCCCTCCTCCAGTTTTTATTCCTGCTTGCGAAAGGAACTAAACATGAAGTCAGATTTTAAGGTGATTTTCAGAATGTTCCTCCCTTCACCGTGCCTTAGTAAGAAAAACAGGCCATTTTCCAAGCGAATGGAAGCACCCTTGTTTGGTGCGTTTAATCACCATGTGCCTTCATTGTTCCTGATTGCCAAATCCAGGAACCTCTTGAGCGTTCAATTTTTCTTGACTGTCCTATGGTATTTTAAATGCTATTAATGTTTGAAATTACTTTTCTTTGACTGCCTTCATACATTCATATGTTCTGCCTGGGCAATTTTATTTGGGCCTATTATGTTCCAGTACCTCTCCAATTTTCACCTCCATCTTAGCACTGCCAGCTTCAGAGCTACAGGTGAGCATTATTAAAGTTTACTGGGGACTACAGACTTTCTGAGTTCAATAAAAATACCAAGCTTGGTACTTGTTGCCTAAGAATTTTCACCCATTCCCTTACAAAGATTATTTGAGTAAATTACCCCAACTTACTTTTCCTTATTTTTGTCGAAATCATTGTCTCTTAACTGTGGAACATTGCAGTTGGCAATTATCTTACTAGGTGGACATAGCACATCTTCTGATACACTAAAATTAAAATGCACACCATCTCAAAAGTGCTATGCTATTTCATACCTTTGTGCTTTTGTCCTGCTACCTGGAGTGCCTCTTTCTCACTTCTGGATAACAAAACTTGAGCCTTTTCTTTGCATCTTGAAAACTCTAAAAAATGCCTACTCTCTAGTAAATGTCATTCTTTACATTGATAACCCAGTCCTAGTGCATGACACTTGATAGGCATTCAGGTGTGCATGGTTTTTTAAAGATTGATAAGATTAACTGTACAGTCTATAAACTGTAAATACTGGCTTTTAACTCTTGAAAGAGCTCTTTTGAACAACAATTTGGATAAGAGATAAAACATTAGGGAGGCTCCAGGCAGGGCAGAAAAGTGCTGATGGCCCAGAGACAGTCTGCCCCAAAAAGGTGGGAAAAAGAAGAAGAAAAAAAATGGGCTGGATATTTTTAAGGAAAAATACTTTAGAGCATTTTTCTTTAATGCGTACTTTTGCTGCAAGCACTGAAGTTTATTGTACATTTGTATTTTTTATTTGGAAAAAAAAATGGCCTTTGGGGTTTGTTTTGTTTTTTGCTCTTTGTAAGCAGACTGTAAAAGCGGTGTTGTCAGCATTGTCTTTTGAGGTATCAAACATGCTTTCAGTCAGCAAATGTCTTTCATATTGTACCAGTCCTAATAAACTAAATTGGTTACCAACCTAATACAAGTGGTATGTCATACAACCTAGTGCCTGGCTAATTTTTGCATCTGTAGTAGAGACAGGGTTATGCCGTGATGGCCAGGCTGTTCTTGAGCTCCTTGACCTCAGGTGATCCACCTACCTTGGCCTCCCAAAGTGCTGGGATTACAGGAGTGAGGCACCATGCCCAGCTGATGACTTAACTTTTGAGGTGTGGCACAGGACAGAGAAAGAATTACTTTAAAACATACATTTCTTCAAGCCAGGGGAAGAGACCAGCTTTTGCCCTCAATGTGGCAAGAAGAGCCTGAATCAGAGTAGGAGTGATGAAGAAGGAATGTAAGACATTACAGAAACATCCATACTTGTTGTATGGGTGGGTATAAAGAAAAATATTAACTTTCAAGAAAAATAATTGGGATTTCATAGTTTCAGAGATAAAAGCCAAAGCCAGGTAGATTCAGCCTTAATAGGAGACAAATTTAGCAAGAAAGCTGAGATCTTCTGTTTACGTTTTAGGCCAAGGAAAAGGAACTAAATGCATTTGTTTTTTTTTAAGATTATATGCTAGAACGTAAACAACCTTTAAGTCTAGTTAGCTTTATAGTAAGAATAGTTTAAAATTACTTTATTCATAAGTATCCTAAGTAGTACCTTTTATTGTTAGATGATTATTGAATGCACACAAATGATAGGTAGCATTTGAAAGCAATTGCCGGCTGGGCATGATGGCTTATACCTATAATCCCACTGCTTTGGGAGACCAAGGTTGGTGGATCACATGAGGCCAGGAGTTCAAGAACAGCCTGGCCAAAGTGTCAAAACCCCCTGTCTCTACTAAAAATACAAAATAATTAGCTGGGTGTGGTGGTGCACATCTATAGCTACTCAGGAGGTTGAGGCATGAGAATCACTTGAATTGGAGAGGTAGAGGTTGCAGTGAGCCGAGATCGCACCACTGCACTCCATTCTAAGTGACAGAGTGAGACTCTGTCTCAAAAAAAATAAAAATAAATAAGAAAGTAATTGCAAGGCCAGGCTTGGTAGCTCATGCCTATAATCCCAGTACTTTTAGGAGACCGAGGGAGGAGGATCACTTGAGCCCAGGAGTTTGAGACCAGGCTGGGCAACATGATGAAACCCCTGTCTCTACAAATAATTTTTAAAAAATTAGCCAGGTGTCTGGCACACACCTATAGTCCCAGTTACTCAGGAGGCCTAGGTGGGAGGATTGCCACTTAAGGCCAAGAGTTCAAGGCCAGCCTGAGCAACATAGCAAGACCCCCATCTTTAGGAAAGTAAAACCTAAGTTTTCAGTTATTCACCCACTTTGGGTTTCTACCTTCCTTAGAAAGTAAAGTAGTATAAATTATTTCTGAAATTTGCGAAAACGATGTACCACATAACCCTCTCAAACCAGGTTGCTTCTACTTCCAATGACTTGATTCCTAAGGGGCAAAGTAATTTGAATGATGGATGAGCTCATGAGATG